TGTACATGTGGGTCCTTTTCCCTTTTGTATGATCTCTTTGGGATATAGCCCTGGAAGTGCTTTTGCTGGGTCAAAGGGTATGCACTAAATATGAAATTTTCATTAGAATTTTTAAAAATCAGCTGCCCAAGTATAGGAAAGGGGATAAGGGCTAAGCAGCAATTTGTGTGGGGGAAAAAAGAGGAATTTTCAGAGTTCTTGGCTGTTTTCTTGTTATGTCCAGTGCTACAGTATCCAGGTTCTGGGGTTAGACATGTTCTTCTGGGACACCTATTATCCTTAAATTGTCTTTGCCCATCCTATTTCTAAAGTCAGTCACTTTAGCTTATATTCATGTGATTTTTAATGTCGTTGCCTTTTGCTGCTTTTATGTCAAATTATCCTCCACTTCAATGTTTTCGTGTTTCAACTCTTACTTTTTTAGAGAGAGTGTCACAGATTCAATTTTTTAATCTACCAATTGTGTTTCATAATTTTACATTGACACTTCTAATTTCTGACCTATATTCAGTAGTTATTTCTTCTTTTATGGATTGCATTACTGGGTTCAATATAATCAGCAGTGTGAAGTAGCAACCCAAAAAGCTGACGCTAATTCTATTTGTAACCCCAAAAGTTGACACAGTCTTAGACTTCAGTACTTTAAGGTGATTTCATCAGTATAGTTCTTTCCTCCACCAGTGCAAAATGCAACTCTTTGAGAGTTGCTGTGACTGAAAGATTTAACAGCCTATACATGAAGTCTTTCTGGTTTGGTAGAACCTACCACAGTTCACACTCTGCTGGCAAAAACTTCGAGAACACAGGATCATCCCCACACCATAATGAGGAATCGAAGTAGATCTATTGTGATGATTCAATCTGAGGCTATACTAATAGTAGGGTAGTGACAGTACTCAGAATGCAGGTCATAGTTCCACCCTCTCTAGACTTCATTTAAAGTTTTGTGTCTGCTTGCGGGGACCTCATCTTAGGAGAAATGTCTGTGGGTCCAGACCACCCTGATGGTGAGGGGAGCTGATTGCATGAGGAAATCCTATAATAAGGGTGAGAATAAGTTGAAGGCAATGGGAATGTTTATTTAGCCTAGAGAAAGAAAGCTTTGAGTAGATGGTGAGAGGTCATAGAGATCATAGATTTAGAGCTGGAAGCCATCTTATCCAACCCTCTTGTTTTATAGAGGGAAAAAGTGAAGCCCTGGAAAGTTCAATGACTTGCCCAAGGTCACGTATCTATTAAATTTCAGAGGTGGAATTTGAACTCCAGGTCCCTTCATTCCAAGCACCTGGACTCTTTCTACTGCGCCACATTATGGAAGAGAGTTGTCTAAGTATTTGAAGGGCTGCCACATGGAAACAGGACTAGCTTTTTTTTTGTTTTACCACAGAGGGAAAAATGAAGAGAAGCTGCACAGGGCTAGGTTTCAGCTTGTTTGTTTGTATGTTTTGGGGGGCAGGGTGCAGTACAACTTCTTAAATAGCCCAAAGGGCTATTTGGGAAGGTAGTGAGCTTTCTGTCACTGGGGGACTGTAAGTGGAGATTAGGTGGTTGCTCAGGTATGTTGTAGAAAGTGTCACCACTCATAGGAGCCAGGCTAGACTTGTGAGATCTCTTCCAACCCTAAGATTACAATTTGTGGGTTGGGGTGACAAAGGAAGGCCTCTTGAGCCTTTCCCCTGTGTTAATACTTTACTTATCTTGCGGTTTATTTAAAACAACCCCAGGGTCCTTAGTGTTGAATAAGTCTTGCCTGTTTGAAAGGTAGATATTCTGTTTCAGTTCACCAGCCATGAAGTAGAATACTCTTTTATTTCCTAGCTTTCTTGTGAAAATAATAAAGTGAAATTAGGACTTTTTGTTCCTATAATGATGGAGAACTTAAAAACTAATCTGTATTAAATATAATAGTGGCCAGTAGCAATTTTTAGTGAGGTCAGAAAGATTGAGAAGCAAGAAAAGCAAAAACTGGATAAAAGTAGTAATAGAATCTTTCGAGTATTTTTCACTTAATCTTTGATCCTCAGACCAGTAAAATGTTTTGGCTAAGTAACTACATATATCCTTTCAATGTCTATTATATGCAGAGCACTGTAGTAGGTGCTTGGGGGATATTAAAAAATAAATTGGACATGGTCTCTGCCTTTGTAGCTCTTTCAATCTAATAATACCCTTATTCTTTACACAATCATAGAAAAAAATAGGGAAATTATCAGGGCTAATTGGAATATATCACTAGGTATTAGAGGTTTGGAAAACGGTGCTAAATGAATCCAGTTTGTATTTTATGTTACCTCTCAAAATATTGGCTACAAAATAGCTGGTTGAAATTTAACTAATTGATTATAATCAGTCAGTTCTGAGAATTTTCTACAAGTTTCTTTTCCAGTACAGTATACAAATTCAGCCAGTCATAGAGATCATATGACATAGATTAAAGAGATGTTTTTTTCTCTTTAAGTAGATAACTATTCTCTACATTTGTTGTCAGGCATCCAGTCTTGGTGTCCAGCTCTTTGACCTTGGCATCAGAAAAGGTTCCCTGAGGAGGAAGCAAAAGAAATGCGTTAAAAATAATGCTGTCTACATTGAGTTAGGTAATGGTCCTCACAAGCAAGTCTTATGTTGCAAAACCACTGACATTTTGTATGTAGCAAATGACTTTAGAAAGAAATAAAATGCAGTAATTGGCCAGCAATTTTAAAGCTTCTAGTATATTACATGTAGTATAACTACAGATAAGCTGAGTCTGTCAGTTCAGTTCAATGACATTAATGTAGTACCTATTGTACACATGGCACTGTACAGATATTGTTGGAGGGGAAAGATAATTAAGTAAAATAGTAAGGGGACTTAAAATCTAAGGAAGTGATGGAACCAGAAATACTCATTTGTTTTCCCACCTGGCTGAATAAATGTTCCTGGAGAGAAGTAACTTGGGAGCATAGGACTTGTGGGAGTGTTGAGTAGCCAGGAACAGATGGGACAAATCTGGGAGAGCTTGGTGGCAGAAGTGCTCAGTCTGCTGGTGGCTTTATCTTCGAATGGCATAATATTTGTAAAGTGCTAAGCACAGTGCCTGGCACAGTGTAATCACTTAAGGCTTATTCCCCTCCTTTTTGTTGAATGGAGGGCTTAAAAGGGATATTGTGTTATAAACACCTTATTCACCTCAAGTAGAAAACCTGCTTCTAACTTGTGTTTTGTGGTGTTGGGGGAATTTTTTAGGATCCGATTCTTCTGAAGATGGTGTAAAAAATGCAGTCTGTAACAGGTAAGCAACTACCATGTACTAGGTTCAGGGAATACAATTAAAGAGAAAACCCTTTCTCTATATTATTTGATCTGTATGTGAAGTAAATTATTTGATCCTCACAACAAGCCTATGAGGCAGGTGTTCTAAAGATCCCTATAAGGAGACAGGCTGGAGGAAGCCATTTAGTTTATGCAAGGTCACCTAGCTAGTAATTGATATCTGGTAGGATTAAAATCTAGGTCTTCCCAACTCCAAGTCCAGGGTTTTTTCTGCTTCTAGTCATGTACATGAGAGAATAGATGGGGAGTGTTTTCAGCGTAGGGGAGTATTGATACTCAAAGTTTCCATAAATTAGAATCAGGCCTGGAAAGGACATTCAGGATCATCTAAGCCAGCCCCCTCATTTCACAAATGGATTAGCCTGAGTCTAGCTGCTCTGGTTCTAAAGATCAGGCATTGTCTAAAAGATTTAATAGAGTTTGCTTCTTTTTTTATTTTATTATTGGCTTTCATAACAATCTGATTTAGCCAGAGCATTCTGAGAATGGATGTGACTGAGAGAGATTTGTGTTTTCTAGCTAAGAAATAGGGGAAGTTTGAGAAGGGATGACATGGGTATAGCTTTAAATGTAGATGAAGCCCATGTGAATTTTGGGAGCTGCTGAGCACTTAGGATGACCCCATTTCCATGTTATATGCCTTCCTCTCCCCTCAAAAAAGGAACCCATACCCGGCTTCCATCCATTGTCATAAATTATAATGTCACGCAAGTAGCCACAAGTTGTTAGAGAAAACATAGCCCAGACTGAGTCTTCTCTACAATTCTGCCTGGCTGGATCAGGTGATGGCATCACTGAAAAATCTTAATATAATCAGTACTATTAGGAAAAAAAAAAAAAAAATTATCACAAGTCCATGAGACTTGTTGCAACTAGATTTATTACAAGAGAAAGGTGCATGCATATGGGAAGTCCTTATACCAAGCATCCTAGCAGTGCAGGGAAAGCCGTGGGTATTTATGTTACAGGGAAAAGGGGAAGTCATAAGGAAGGGGAAAAGGACTAGTCCCCTCCTGAAGGGGAGGAGAAAGGCCATGGCAAAAGCAGCATTCTTTTCCTTTGGGAACTGAAGGAAAATATGGCAACTCAAGATGACAAGTTCAGGGGACCCCTTAACAGTACTTACTAGTTTATCCATTTTCTCTAGTAGCAGAATTGGGAGATAGATTTTTGAGAGATTGCTGAAGACAGTAACAGGGGGCACAAGGTAGTAAAGAGGGAACACTTATCTGGCTAGAGTGTTTCTGGATATTCTGTGGTTTTTCCTGCAACTTTATATCCTCTGCAAAGTCTCGTATGGACTGACTACTCTGCCTTCTTGGGAGGGATGCTGCCCTTCTCTGAATGATGTTATTGTGAGATATTTATATCATCAGTTCTGACTAGTCAGTTAGGATTTGTATAACCTTAAAGCATTGCTGGTCTCTACCACTTTGCCCTTTAAGACCTTCAAACTTTGACCTTCTTTTTCTGACCATGAGATTGGTAGCAGCAATAGTGTGTGGAAAAAAGCACTGGATTTAGATTCAGAGTATAGGCAGCTAGGGGGCAGAGTGGGTAGAGTGCAAGATTTGGAGTCAGGAAGACCTGAGTTCAAATCCAATCTTAAACACTTACTAGCTGTGTGATCCAGACAAGTCATTTAACCCCTGTTTGTCTCAGTTTCCTCAACTGTAAAATGGGAATAATAATAGCAGCTACCTCCCAGGATGGTTGTGAGGATCAAATGAGATAATAATTGTAAAGCACTTAGCTTCAAAATTGGCACATACTAAGTAAGCACTATATAAATGTTAGATATTATTAATTACCTTAATTCAAATGCTATCAACTCATTACTAAGGTTAAATCACTTAACTTCTTTGTACCTAAGTTTCCTTATATATAAAAGGAAGGGACTATACTAAATTCTTTATGTCTTCTTATAAATAATCCTGTAAATCCTAGGAGAAGAACTACTTAATGTTCTAGCTCAGTTTTAGTTCTATGAAAACATGACTTCTCTTTCTCATTAGAGCCTCTGTCTTCTTTCCTATAGTGTGGAAGACCAAGAATTGTGCCAAACCTCGCCACAAGGAACCAGACATAAAGTCAGATTAAAGCCCAGGGGAAAAGGTAATGACAATCTTTCCTCATATTTCCTGACTTGTTGAGCGCAGAAGAAAAAGCATGGGTGGATGTGGTATTGCCAAATGGCCCTGAAGAACAACAGGGACCTTTTATAATCCATAGCATCCTTTGCCTTGTATAGAATAGCAGTCTCAGACTTACAATATAATCTGATGTGTTTGTAGTAATATCCCTTGCTGGAGAATTCTCTCCATGAAGAGGAATGAGACCAAAGATAGAAGGCCAAACTGAAGGCACAGAAATCTGTTAGCTTGCTAAGGAAAACTGCTGATAGCACCTTCAGCTTCCTAATATTCAGATTTGATTTTTATAACCTTTTAGGCCAGACTGGAGCTCATAACCAATCAGCAGCATTGTCTAGCAACTTAAGATAGATAAATAAAGTATTTCACAGGAGAGGGATGGGTGGAGAAACAGAGGACTAGCCAAGGGAGAAAAGAGGAGTACTTGTAATGCAACTAACAGGATTTATTATTAGAATAAGAAAACATTCCCTGTTCAAGGGGAGGTGACTTTTTGCAATTGTGAACAAAGTGCTTTTAGACAAAACTGCTGGATTGATGAACCATTGAAACAAAACTGTAGGTATCTGTTATCCACGAACAAATAGTTGTTAGAATGGTGCATGAGATCATCTGCTTTACTGTGCCCTGGCATAATTTGGTATATTTTATTTCTCCTTACTTTCCACTATGAGTTTTATCAGTTGGTTGGGAAATTCCTACATCATTAGTCCATTAAGATATCATGAAATCATTGTGATTCCTATTTTTCATTCACACCCTGCATGAAGTTGTCCTAAATCATCCAATGTCATTTTAGAAGTACCATCCATTTTTTTTAAACACTCATAATTTTATCAGTGTAGGGAACTCCTATAAAGGAAATTCTCTCCACCAATGCAGATAGATGCCTTCTCTACAACTTCCAGTTACCTAAAGCAGTTAGAAGGTGAGTTACTTGGCCAGTTTGTCAAAGGCAGGATTAGAATACCACCTCTAATGCATTGTAAACAAACCCAAGTATAACATTGTTTGACTGACTGACCAAATGCAAATTGGATGATCTATTTCCATAAAGTAGTAAGGCAGCTTTGTTGCTAGAAGTGGAAGACTGGTCATTAGTAAGAATTTTTGTACTTTGTACTTGGATGTTCACCTTAATTTGTCAAATGAATGTCGCATTAGCATCCCTGTAGCCCCTTGATACATCTTGGCAGGAAGGTTAAGCATCATGACTTAGCTCTTCTGTTGCCAGGCTAGTCTGTTCTTCTGCCTCGTCTTGCAGATGCTTTTGAGTTTCCCTAACTCCGTAATCTACTGTATCCTTACTATACCCTTCAGGGTTACAAGGGTTACAAAGATTCTTGGCTCCACTACTTTTCCAGAGGACCCCTGCTCAAAGTGGACCCCGGCTTTTCTTCCTGCCAAGTAAAAGTGGTTGGTAGGGGACCCACAATTAAAGTCTCACCCTAAAATGCGACTGCTTCTTCCTTTTGGTTTTGATAAGTTGGGTCCTCCATGTCTCTGGCTTCTCATTGAAGCAATAACTTAGTGATCTGTCTTCTCCATCCAGCCCATTCATTTTTCTTCGTCCTTGGTAATTATACTCATCCCAGTGTTCATTTTTCTTTTTAAAAATTTTAAAATTTATTTCATTAAATATTTTCCAATTGTAAAAAATGTTCTTGACATTTTTAAATTTTTTTCAGTTCCGGGGGTGGAGCCAAGATAGCGGAGTCAAAGCAGTGGCTTGCTTGAACTCTCCCCCAAACCCTTCCAAATACCTGTAAAAAATGACTGTAAACAAATTGTAGAGCAGCAGAACCCACAAAAAGACAGAGTGAAACAAATTTCCAGCCTAAGACAACCTGAATGGCTGATAGGAAAGGTCTGTTGCTCCTGGCTAGGAGAGGAGCACAGTTCAGTGTGGGCTGCACAGGGAAAGATGGGGCCTCAGGAGACTGAATCACAGGCAGCTGTGACAGTTTCCAGACTTCTCAACCCACAAACACCAAAGACAATTTAGAAGGTCAGTGGGAAAGGTCTGTCAGACCTAGGTGAGAGAGGAGTATGGTCCAGGCTGACCCTAGCACAGCCCCGAGATGGCAGCCACAGAAGCTGCTTCTGGAGCTTTCAGCCCACAGACAGTGGGGGGATCAAGCAGCTGAACAGAGGAGGATTTCAGGGATCTCTTTGCTGGTGCTGAGGCAGGATTCTCTTGCTTTGCCTGTGTTTGGATCTGGGTCATAGCCCTGGGTGGTAGCCCTGGGGCAAGGAGCAGCACTGGCGTGGCTGAGCTCATGGCCATGGTGGAGAGGGAATCCTCACAGTTCCAAGGCACAAAAGAGTGCATGTGATCATTCATAAACCAAAGCACAGGCCAGGAAAGGAGTAAACACCTCTCCTTTGATTACACCACCTTGGAAGAACTGAAAATTTACAGGTCCCTAGAACTATCTCTGAAAACAGCTGCACAAAACTTCTGAAGCTTGGGACAGTATACCCTCCACACCGGAAA